TGACTCCAGCATTGCGAAAGCTTGTCCTCACTGTCCACAACATGGACTGGGATCCGTCGGTTGACTGGAAATTGGGCCAAATTCCTGATCACAGGCAAGTCATCTTCATCCACTGCATCGCTTGAAAGCCGGAGCCTGGAAGAGCCGCTTCCACCACCAGCGCCTTCGCCAGTCCTCCTTCTGCCGCCGGTGCCACCAGTGCCTGCAGCTTTGGCAGCTGCTCTTTTGGCGGCCTCGGAACAAAGCAATGAGTGACAATGATGACAACTAAAGACAAAAATGAAGGCATGAGGCACTCAACATGAGACCCACCCTCAGAACAGTGACCTGGTTCTGGTTCTCTTTTTCCCACTCACTCTACTCTAGTTACTCTATGCACTCTACACGCATAAAACTTGCAGTGCTTAATTCACCAAAGGCACCGCATCTGCCTTCTTCTTCTGAGCAGCTAGCACTTGGTCACGCTTGCGCTTCTCAGCTTGACGTGCCTGCTGTTTGCCAAATAACTGTCTGGAGGAGGCCATGGAAAAGAATCCCCCCAAAAGAAACTACCCACAGGAAACGCCTTGTCCAATTCCTTCTTCTCTGATTCGAAGTCCTTCTTCACAGAGAGTAAAGCTTGCTGGATCTTGGAAAGCAAGCGAGCCCTTGTCTCAAACAGCTTCACCGCGTCTTTCATGTCAGCATCCTCAGGCACACCAGCATGCTCACAACATGGTTGAACATCAAGCCGCAGTAAACAAAAGTTCGATTCTGAAATTCTGAAATTCTGAAGTCTGATTTTATTGAGTCTGATGATATGATGATATGATATGAATTGATAATATATATATATACATATTTGACCGTCGTTGAACTAGAACCAGCAACTTCAATATTGGTTTGGTGAACTGCCCTGCACTCTATCAGTAGTCGCAAATCTTCTCTCAGGCACTGACTGTTTTGATCAGATTCCACTCTGACCTGCTGAGGAGGACTTCATGGACTGATTGGAGAAGATTAGGCCATTCACTCTGGCTTTGGCTGGCCAACTCTTCCAACCCAGACAGGTACGGATCACAAACCACAAGCTTGGTCAGCTTGTCAGCTTCTGGATACTGGCAAACAAAGAGCTTGTTGGCAATGCATGCCCTGAGCATCATTGTGAGCTCTGTGGACGATGACAGCACATCATGCCCCATAGAGAAATGCGATTCATCAATGGCACCAATGTCCAAGGCCACCCCGTCTTTCATAGGCCAGTCATTTGATTCCTGAAGAAGATTCACACAAGAAGTGATGGCCGTTGCCACAACTTCTGTCTGATGGTCCAAGTCGTTTGCCTTTGCCAAAGTCGTAAGCTTATTCTTCTCAAGTGTCACCTCAGCAATCCAGCTTCCAACTTTGTTAAACAACCATATAAAAGAATCTAAGTCTATTGAAATTGAAATGCATCCAACAAAATGACATGGCACACAGCAGCTCAGCAGCTCAGTTAAAAAAAATGACCACAACTTTAGTGACAGGTCCACAGACCAGATGGCACTTCCACTCCAAGTACAATAATATGCTAGTTCGTTTTTGTGGATATATATATATATATGTATATATTTGTTTAATATCCTAAACCATAAACCGAACCGAACCCTAAAAGTTTGAATAGAATGCTTGCCCTGCCCTAGTGAAAAGAACGCATACCAGGGACCGGGCCTTCTGATCTTCCTCAAGGTTGAACAACACCCAAACTTGAGCATTTGTTCTTGGCAAGCTGAGTGGTGAGGAAAAAGCATGTCGCAGGGAGAATTGCCAGGCCCAAACAAAGCCCTGTGCACTGGCATTGGTCTTGAAAGCTTCCATTTCCACATTAGTAAGGCAGTGGCGTGGTTGGAAGAGCTGGAAGGATTCCAGATAGATTTTGAAGCATTTTTCAAACTCCAAAATTGCAATCACTTGACGGCCGTGTGTGGCTTGGCAGCTGACCAGGGCAATGCATTCTCCCACTTGCAAGAAATTGACTGGCCTGCTCCGAATTTCAAGACTCTTGCCTGACAAAAACCTGTCAGCAAACCTCTTCTGAATCAGCAGCCCATAGAATGCACCAGTGTTGGAAACCTTCACACAATTCCTCAACATATCCTGAGTAAAGAAAAGAACATATATAATTACATGACAAGGGTGAAAGAGCAGAGGGCCTCTTGAGGCTTGACTACCCGGTATCAATGCAAGGACCAATAACATCATTTAAGTAATATATATATATATATATTCGAATTCATATATACATACATACATAGAACCATAACCCGAATCACAATCCAACAGAAACCCTTTTGACATTCCCTTTGTACTTTTTTCAGGTATTTTCAGCCAAGAGGCCTTGATGTTCTTGACTTTCGGAGGTCTCTGATTACCTGAAGGTCTACCAGGAGTCTGCCCACGGCCTCTAGCCTGCTCATTGCCACCATCTGGCTGAGGCAAGCTCAGCGCAAGGGTGCTGGTTGAGGGCAATGCTGGCAGCTGCATCAAAGGATCATCTGCAGCAAGCATACTTTCTTGATCGAAGTTGCCCTGCAACCACCAGCTTCAGGACAGCTCAAAGTACCAAACAAGACAAAAACAGAACATATCACCGCAGGCACAGAGGGCGTTGTTGCATACTTTCACAGTTTTATGCCAAATAATCCCAACTAGCCAATCATGGCTCCTTGTGTTTCTCATTGCAAAAGCAAACCTCAGCCCAGATCCAGCCTTAAGATCTTCAATCTGAGACTAATTCGGCTTGTCTTTCCTGTGTCCAGTTGTAAAAACAACCTTCTCATCCTGGTACTTGGCAGTGTCAACATAGTCCCTGATGTTGACACCCAAGCGGGTAACCTGAGTTACTCTTCACTCACGCACTATCTCCAACGCTACCAAGCAAACACATGAGTTAACTTTGCAGTGCAGTGCACTCAGCGCATCTCAGCGCAGTATCATATTTCCTCCGCGTCACCTGTCACTGACACAGGTCTGTAATCTTTTGCCAAGATACACGTTCACCATTTGGGAGTCCATTCTTATCTGGTGCTCGAATCTCATCTCGAGGGTGTCTTGGATCTGCAAGCTCTCGGGCCCAACGGTTCGATGCCTGGAAGAAGTTGGCAATGAATTGGTTGAGGAGACATCAACCGCCAATCAAACAATCACAGCCCAACTCAACACTGGTGCTTGCTCATTGCTCATCGCTCCAAGACAAATTCCTACTGTAGTGTCCTGCTCAGCAGTCAAGGTCAACGGCCAGCTAAGCCCTTGGTAGTGCTTGCAATAGTCCGAGAAGACCATCATGACCTTGGTATGCATCAACAACTACAAGAGAATACTGAGAATACCCAGCAATACCCAGTATCAGCCTCAGCCACCACCAAACAATTCCACTGGTCACCAGTGAGTAACACATGTTGAAGTGTTTTCAAATCCAGCTGAGTCTTGTGATACGACTAGAACTTGAAACTAAGCTCCCAAATTTCAACATGGAGCTTCAACTTCTGACTCCCAACTGCAAATAAGTAGCCTGCAGTCCTCCAGTTTGGGTCCGCTTGCCTTTCTCCACTTGCTTGAAGAATGCGGCAAAATCAAATTTGGGTCGGGACCTTCCTCGGCCAGGTGGTCCGCACCTGAGCATAAGTTGCATGTCACATGGCCAAATGGCCAAGCTTTGGAAAGTAGTTTTAGGCTAGTTTTAGGCTTTAAGCTAACCTAGCCTCACAATGATTCTCATATTTTGCATGAATGTCCATGCCACCAAGAAACTTGGTGCGAAACTCCAAAACCAGAAGCGCAAACTGATGTGGATCGGTCTTCCGGAGGTTCTCAACTTGAGCAAGTCTGCCGGTCTCTTTTGCTTGCTGCAAGAGAGCTCTGAGGCAACCCCTGTCCTGTGCAGATGCTTGGGCGCTGGGGGTTTTGCCCAAGCCTAGCTATAGGACTACAAATGGGATGCTGGGAGTTGGGAGCAACCAAATGGCCAGCCAGTGGAATAGAAGTGCGACCAGCTACACATCACATCTGACTCAACTGACTTCCGGCTCAGTTATTCCCTCAGCGTCAGTGTCAGTCCAGTACCCACCCAGGTGTGTCCTCGTCACACGTCAGTATGACATGATCGGATTTGCACTTGTCTACCTCTGCCTGTGTGAGGTTCTTCTTGCACACTTGACATTGATCTGGCAAAGCCAGAGCTTGACTTGTCTCATTGGGTGGGGCTGCCCCATCAGCCCCTTTCGAAACTTCCATTTCCAAGTCTGGCTCAGAAGCAAGCATGGGTCACACAGCCACTGACGGTCTCCCAAAGTCAAGAGCTGTAGGCAGGCTTGAGACATGCAATGTTGCAAGGTGAGGTTGCACAGTGTGTTATGACAATATCACAGTCAACCTTGTGAAATGCAAAAGACCCACGGCCCACGGTTTTGATTCGTGTTTCAATCTTGTACATACCGGTTTTGGGAAATACACAGTGAAGTTTCCTGCTGGTAAACCTGAACCTCGCCTTGAACCTGAAAGAAAGGAGAAACACATTTGGGTCGAAACTAGACGCATAGAACAAGTTCAACTGGTGACAGGACTGAAGACAGAAGTTCACCTGATTTTTTCTGTTCTGATTCACAGCTAGCCAAAAGTTACCATGCAGGACGCAGGGTTGGTTGCCTTGCCTGGCCTGGACTGGACAGACATTGAATTAAACTGAACTAGCTAGAAAAAACTCTGCGTGGAGTGGAGTTGAGCCTTGAGCGACCCTTGACACACATTGAACTTTGGTTGTGAGTTGTGAAACTCACTTGATGATGTTGTCATGCTACAACTCCAAGTTGAGAACGCACACAAACAGCAAACTATTCACTATTCACTCTGCCAAATTGGCAAGTGTTGGCGGCTTTGGCTGCACATTCTTCAAGATACAAAGAACCAACACACCAACAACAGCTGCATGCATGCCATTGCCTGTTAGACTCTGGATGGCCCTCTCAGGAAGTTGAGCCAAGGGATCAGAGCCATCGGCAGCATTGACCTTCATGTACTGCGGCTTGTTGTGTACTTGGTCGCGAGATCTGACAGGAACGCCCATCACCATCATCAAGTCCTCTATTGCAAAGCACTGGACCAGGAAATGACCCTTTGCCAAGTTCCCAAGTCATTGAACCATTCATCACTCATCACTCCAAGACTATCAATGAAGGGACAAAAACAAGAACCCCAAGCTGGCCTGTCCCATTAGCGGGGCAGCTTTGTCAAGAAGCCACATGGAAGACCCTCGAAGCAAAGTAGGGCACATCCAGTTTGCCATGGGGTAGCTGCTTGGTCGCTGGTTCAAATCAACAGCCTTGAGACTTGAGACTGTTGAAACTTGAGACTGAGACTGTAAATGGCCAGAGTCAAAGGCCAAAGAATTCTTCTATAGTATAGTACTATATACTATAGAGACTCAAAACTCAAAACTTGAGTCAATACTAAAGGAACATTAGAGCCTCACTTCATGGCTTGGTATCACATCAGAAACAATTACCGCCAAGTTACAACCTCCTTGCCCTCTGCCAGCCATTGCTGGACACGTGGCAATGCTTTGTATGCTGTCACCCGCTTCTGCTTTGCAGCCGGCAGCAAGTTAAAGCACTCAGTGGTAAGCATGCCTTTCTTGTATTGCTTTGACAATCGCTGCTTGACGGCAGCCTCCTGAAGGGATGTCAACTCAATCCTTCATATGATTTTTTGGGGGGAACAAATTTGTGGCAGAATCAAGTCACAGTGGCAGGCTGCAGGCTCCTCTGCATCAGTCGCTGTGTAAAGGACTCTACAGTCTGTTCCGGGTTTCATCAGCAGCGATTTCAAGTCTTCGGCAAACCTGTCAACTGACAGGAAAGGCGCCAATATAATTGAATCACATGTCACATAAGTCATAATAGGGAAACGGATCAGACTTCTGAGAGAGCTGAGCCATGAGCCAAGGGAAGTATACTGAAGTATACCTACTTGTTTTGCCATGCTTCCAGTCTCAAAACTGCAAACTGAAAACTAAAATAGCAATCAACAGTCAGTTCAATTTAGTCTGTGTTTTCCCATGGATGTGGCCAGCATGGTACAACAAACCACCAAAAGTATTTCATTTCAGCATGGCACTGTTTCAATTGGTCATCGACATTGACATTTCAATTGCCGTTCAAAGCACCTGCCTTGCAGCATCAAATATCAGGGTGCCCTTCTTCACACAAATCGTATATCTGCGAGGGCGATGAACAGGCCATCCTGCTGCAAAGCAATCAAGGGCACAGCACAAAAATGACACATATTTCAACTGATTTTGGTTGAGCCAAAGAAAAGGCAACAAACGTCAACTCTTCAGATATAAAATGATTATATACATTACATTCATTACATTGTTACATATATTAATTGTATATTACTATATCATAGTTAACCAGTCAGACTGACAGTCGGTTGTCATTTCAATTCCCTCTGTCCCAATGTCCTATGTGGTGAGGACTGATGATAAAAGAAATGATCTCATAGCAATGGCCCAGGTGGGCACGCAGTACAGCAGGTCGAAAGCGAGGTGTACATTCATGAAGCAACAGATCCTGCAGAGGTGGCTTGGCTTTTTGTCCCACCCTCACACCTTTGGGTTGTGGGATTTGCCTTTACATAAAACTTAACAAGCATAAGCATAGCATCAAGAAACTCAAGACTCAAAGGGGTCCCATGAAATGTCTTTACAACCTTGAGAACTTCAGGACCTGACCTGACCTGACCTGCCCCCTGCCACACCACACTCCTCTGCGGTTCGCAGTCTTTGCTCCAGCCAAACGCTGAGTGTTTTTGCCGTCCTGCCAAGTAGCCCTTGTTGCTGGCCCATACTGGAGTGGTCATAACATTCTGTCCCAGAGGCATTGAAACTCAGCACGAACTTGGACTTGGCCTGGGCCTTCTGTGTTGCTGCAGGCAACTCCACATGTGGTAGAGGGCAAACTCGATCATGTTGAGCACCTAGGAAACAGTGGCAGTGCGTGCCGGCAGCATAGTTGATCCATGTAGTCATGTGTAGACTGTGTAGAGTTCCGAATCACCAATGCCAATGCCAACACAAAGTGCCTTGTTTAATGGAAATTTAAACAGCAATCAGATCAGAAAGAACAACAGCAGTTGAGCTGAGTCAGTCAAACAGTCAAACACCCCACTCAGACTCTGACCCACTCTCATCAATCAAAAAACTCTGAAGTACCAGTGTGACAGGGTGACTGTGTGCGTGTTTTATGGAACTGAGTGAGTGGAGGTATGTTTACATTTTGCATAAATTTCATGAGGCCCTGACACTTTGCTCTTGACAGAAGGGATCCACTGCGGCTCAGGGTGCTCATGTACTCTGAGAGAAGGTTGTCCCCATAGAGTTGAAGAACTTCCTTGTCCTTGTTCTTCATGTCCACCAGGGTGTCAGCTGTCAGCTTCTCTGACAAAGCTATGTCGTCCTGAGCCTTCTTGGAAAGTCGGGCGAAAAGGTCCTCGAAGATGTGGGCAGGTGAGTTGCAATGTGCCTGCATGAACCCTCTGCAAACAGACGAGATGTCACAGGCAGCCAATGGAGTGAAAACTGGGCCACTGCCACCGCCAATCTCAGATCCATTTGGAAGGCCTAACAGTCGCACAGAAAGCCTGCCAAAGTCCAAACTTATATTTACTATTCTGCGATATAACTCATGACTCAAGCAATATCACAAAATAATTGTCGGGTGAGTTGTGAGTGGCGTGGTGCAGTTGTGAGATGTGTCTCCTGTATTCCAATTCCAAGTGGCGTGCATGCAGATGCTGAGCCACAGCATCCAGGGCCATCTCAACTGCCAGCTCGGCGGTTCCCATTCCTGAGAAATCTGACGTCATGATGAGCTGCAGGCTGTGAAACTTTGTCAAATTGTCCATAGCCACGGCAGCTGCTGTAGTCCCGCCCTCTCCACGCTGAGCCCAGAGAGTCGCAGTGGCATGTTCAGGCCACTGAAACAACTCAGTGAGCACAGAAGGGCCTGTGGCTGCAGCCTCCCATGCTTCGGTAAGCTGGATGTCCTTGCAACCGCAACATGCCAAGACAGAAGAGTGAAAGAGCCACAGCAGTGACTGTGACTATGAACTTCGAACTGCTTCAAACTTAGTTGTTTGCAGTCAACACCCCCAGGGGGCGGGGGGGGTTGTTTTGAGCCCAGTCAAACAACAAACAACAAACTACAGTCCCTTCCCAATGTCCCCAATCCCCTAAAGCAGGAAAGTCGCTGAGATCTTCTCTGAGTTCTTCTCTGAGGAATCATCATCGTGCCAACCTGCCTTTGACACCTTCCTCTTGGAACCTCTGGAAGCCTGAGGAGGAGGAGGACGTGTTTCCTCAGCCGCCTCAGCCTGCTCCATGTTGGAAGGAGTTGAATCTGGTGATGAGGAGGACAAGGAGCTAGAGTCAGAGCTAGTTGAACTAGTTGACCCACTACCACTGCCACGTGTGTCATTTGCTTCAACACCAACTTCATCTGCCAAACCCTCTGGCGCCGCAGACATAGGATCGTCTTGCACAACCCGCCACGGCATTGTGAGAGTCGGCACTTGGATTTGAGCTTTGAACCTGTAAAAATGTCTAAACCATTGCGAAAATTCACACGCACAGGTGTTGGGACCAAGTCAGAAAATGTAAGCGGGATGTGATGTTTGGATTTGACTCTACACCCCCACCGCCCACCCCCTACCCCCCAAGATAGTAGGGATTTTGTACATTGCACCAAAAACCTTGACCCGACAACAGGTAACAAGTGACTATGGTAAATGGTGCTCATACTAGATGCGCACTTGCACAGGTGGCCACTGGAGCAGTCCCTTTTGATGTGCAACCCCACGAATAGCCACGGCAGCCATATGAAGTACATTTTGTACTTGACAAAGGCTGCAAACCCCTTGAAGTAGGCCAAGTCTACCTTGGAAGGAGAAGCACAGATGTTTCCAAGCTTCCCCAAGGCTTGACAGTGGCTTGAAGGCGGCGAAATTGGCAAGTCTGGTGAAATGATCGGCTGAGCATCTGAAAAACATAAAACCTCAACAGAAAGTGGAAAGCTTGGTTGGTGGCAGGTTGAAACCCTTGAAACCCTTGCTGCACCTGGAATTTATATGGCTCCAACCCAAAACGACCTACACAACCCAGCGCAACCCTAAAAGGGCCCCCAAACATCCAAATTGGTGTTGTCAAGGTTAACTCAGGCTTAAAGTGGAGTTCCGACGAACTCCGACGAACTCCGACGAACTCCGACGAACTTGGCCTTAAAACTCTTAAATTTCTTATGTTTTTCAAGTTTTTGCTCGTGATAATTGGCTGTTGGTGTGGCCAAAACCACCTGAAAATAGCTCTGAACAAGCAAGTTTGGTACATTTTCTAATGAAAATTGCACTTGCGCCTCTGAATTTTCACATACAGAAATTGGCTGAAAACAGCCCAAAGCTGCCCTCCGACGAACTCCGACGAATTAAGCTGAAATCAAAATATTTAAGCTGAAGTCAAAATGTTTAGGCCCTGGACCAGCCTGGAGGCTACAAATAGGAGTGTGCTTGCTGTTCTGAAATCATTGTAGGTGTTTGCGCTCTCCAATTGGCAAATTCAATGGCCGCCATCAACTCTGTACTACCAGGTGCCAAGTACAATGAGAATTTCATTTGGGAAGTAGGAATATTCCCAAATACAATGGAACAGGATGCCCAGTGGGCCTATCCACTCAGTGAGCTCTTCTTTCAATTGTACCACCCAATTCCAGAAGACAAAACTGACCCAGACTCAGAGCCAGGTCTTCAAAAAGGCATTTTGGGGTCCTTGGGGTCTATGCGGATCTCAACACCACCCAACAGCTATGCTGCCAAAGGGCTCATCCAAGATCATCAACCTATTGCCAAAGCAGCACCTTGGCAGTCGAAAGCACTTTCCGGACTGACAGCAGTGGTGTCCAAAGAAACCAGGAACGACATCAGGGGGTTGGAAGATGAAGCCATGACAAAGAAAGCAGGAACAAGATCAAATCAGGGTCCAAAGTAGAAAGTTGCCAGAACAGGGATGATGCCAAAAGTCTATTAGTGGACTTTTCGCTGAAATTCTATAAAAGTCTATTAATGGACTTTTAATCAAAATTCTATAAAAGTTCATTAATGGATCTTTCACCAAAATTCTATTAATGGATTATGATTAGCTTTGCTTTTTGGAGATGTCTCAAATTGCAAGGCCAACAGCCAACAGGCCAATGCCCCCCTTTCAATAGTTGCTCATTGCAAATGCCAAGGGACGGAAGGCCACAGCGGCTATGTCCAGCCAGCGCAGCCCAGCAGCCCACGCTCCCCACCTTGGCTGCTGGGCTGCTGAGTTGGGGGACCAAACAAGTTGCCAGAACAGGGATGATGCCAAAAGTCTATTAGTGGACTTTTCACAGAAATTCTTTAAAAGTCTATTAATGGACTTTTCACCCAAATTCTTTAGTGGATGATGATTAGCTTCGCTTTTTGGAGATGTCTCGAATTGCAAGGCCGGCCCTTAGTCCAAACAGCCAACAGGCCAATGCCCCCCTTTCGAAAGTTGCTGAAATGCCAAGGGACGGAAGGCCACAGCGGCTATGCCCAGCCAGCGCAGCCCAGCAGCCCACGCTCCGCACCTTGGCTGCTGAGTTGGGGGACCAAACAAACACCATCATCTTGTCAACAACCATTTCCATTCAATTTGTTGCCTGTTAATGTCAATGTTCAAGCTTCTCTCAATCAAAACAATAAGCCACTAAGAAACACAAGGGCTCATACAATGTGGAGACAAACACTGGGTCGAACATAATGGCAAAATGGAAGGTGTGTGTGTGTGTGGAAAGGGTGTCGGCAAAAACTGCTTCTATGGTTTTGGCTAAACTGCTTGTTCCATAGAATAATGACTCCATAGCAACATCACTCTGTCAACAGATTTGCAGGTCTTCAACTTCAGAAGTTGCAAAAATGCATATCTCAAATATCTCAAACCGCCAACCATGTGGCTTTACCTTCCCTAGGCCCTAGGCCTTACAAATGCCAAGGGACCAAAGGCCACAGCAGCTGTGTCCAGCCTGCGCACCCCAAGCAGCAGCTCCATACCTTAGCGGAGTGTGGGACTCAAACTCCAACTCAACTGCAACCAATTTCCATCCCCCCTTGACTCTCAAAGTGTTTACTGCGCTGTAAATTTTAAGTGTCAGTTATCTCAATCTGAAATTTAGTATAGGTGTATAATAGATATCCTCAAACATTGTAGCTTCAAGTCCTCAAGATAGCAGATATACCCAGTCATCCACTCACCGATCCACTAGCTTCTCAAAACGATATGTGGGGCAGATATCGGTAGAATGTAGGTGACATAGAAAACCCAACCTTTGGGGCCGGGGTCACACCATGACACCACTCCACAAAGTTGATGGTATGAGGAAGGTCAGCGTGGGCCGCTACTAGCTACTGGTTGCTGGCACTTAGCCTTGCCAACATGCCTTCCTGTCCCTTGGTTCTTCTCTGCATTTGTGGCCCCATTGGCCCATGGGTATCAAGCATTGAGGGATGCATGACTCCATTTTAAAACAGACTCTGGGTAAAAAAGAATCATTCTATATATATATATATATTTATTGTATAGTATATGTTTATACATTCACAAGACAATAAGACGGTTGCAAGCAGGATTCAAAGGACATGGGGACTGGAAAGGGCTTTGAAGCATGTCAGGGTCCCGTGACCCATCTCCCCTCCTCACCCCACATGCATTCTTTTCTTCCTCTCAACTCAGACCTTCAAGGTCGGAATCCAGGACGATGTAGTCTGTCCACGAACAGCTGAGACTGGTGGACAACCTTCAAGGTCGGAAACCAAAACGATGTAGCCTGTCCACAAACAGCTTAGGCTGGTGGACAGGTGGACACAGGTGTTCAACAACCTTCATCGTCATCATCGACCAAGACATACTCAAACTCGTCCTCGTCCTCATTGGACTCTTTGGCACTCGATCCTTTGCTTGCGGTTGTGCTCTCTGCCCCTGAGTCTGAGCTCTTCTTGTGGGCACGCTGCTTCTTTGTGGCCACCTTCTTGACAGGCTTTGCGCCCTTTTGATTCTGCTGCATCTTTGACAGTGTATAGGTTCGTCTTGCCATCATGCGGAACCAATTTCTATAAGGAGCGCACTGATCAAGAAACCGCTTCTGCATCATGGGAGTGAGCATCCGAAAGTGCTGCCAACACCTCTCAGTTTCCAGCTCTCTCTCATCCGGAATCTCCAGGTACTCGATGCCGATCATCTCCAAATAGAGAAGTGAGGCCCTTATATCAAGCAGTGGATGACCGTTGGGGAGCACCGACGCTGGCGGCAAGGCCGCCGGTGGCCTCGCCTTGAGATCAGGCCTTCGCCCCAAGTCCATGGAGTCCATGGCAGTGACCTTTTCTGGTCCTCTTCGGCAAAAAGTCACTGACTGTGGTGTCAGTGACTGCCAGCGCCAGGGCCACTGCTGTGCCAAAATTTCTGCAGTGATGTTGGAAGTTGGAACAATGGACGGTGGACGTTGGCCCATACAATGCAGATGAGGCCCTCATCATGAATACCTTGTAGGCTTACTTGTAGGGGTTGCTTTTGCAGTGGGGGTCATCTCAGTATCTCAGTCTCAGTAAAAAGTATTTGAGGGAATTGCTGCATTGCTGTGAGCACCACAAAGAACTGCAGCCTGGCACAGAGTCCCTAGTCCCTGGCCCAGAGCCAAGGGGCAGCAAGCACAGTGGCGATGCCACCATCCGCCAAGCTCCAGTCCAGCCCAAGCAGCAGCGCCATACCTTGGCTGAATCTCCATTTGTTTAGTTAATGTTGAAAGTTGAATGCTCTGAAACTCTTGTTGTTGTAAATTGTCCTAGTCCCCTTCTTGTAAAAGATCCTTTGGGGAAAGTGTGATAAGCAGCAACGGATGCTGATCAAATTGCACCGATTTGGGGACACAGGCAAACTTCATAGTTTGCTTGGGTCACCAAATATACTTAGAACATATACTAGAACATGTTTACCTACCAGGCTACCAGGGAGAAAAAATCCAACATATTTTTGACGTCTTACAATATAAGAAACACAAGGGTCCCGGGTCCCTGGCCCAGCCATACTGAAGAACACTGGGTCTGTGAGCCCTGGCCTTGAGAATGCCAAGAAACGGAAAGCCAGGTCAGGTAGGCCATCCAGCGCAGCCCAAACAGCAGCTCCATACCTTGGCTGCTGAATTTTGGGACTCAGACTCAAACAGTAACAAGTAACAACCATTTCCATTCCCCCCCTTCGAGTCTCAATTGTTTTTGTTAATTATCAATTATCTGTCAATTCTCTCAATATGACAACAAGAAATGCAAAGTCATCAATCATCATCATAGATCTATCAATGCCCATACCCTTATATATATATATATGAAAAAGTGGAATAGGTGTAAAGCGTACAGGCCAAGGCTTTAAACTTTATCGATTTAATGATAATGGTATTGTTGTTAATGGTTTTGTATTGTTCTCCAAGGAGAAGCAATCCACTGAAACT